TTGTTTGGTTTTACTATGAGTAGTAGGTTGGTAGACAGCAACCACCCAGGGAAGTACTACCGTCCTGCCAGATGACTGTGAAACAGAAACCTGTAACTGTTGGTAGGATTGCTGGTTTCTTTTTCTGTCTCATAAACACACTAGATAACAGGGATATCTTGCTACTCCTACTTACACTTTGGTCACACTTCACAGACATGCACATGCATGTGTATATACATACATCTAGGTTTTTCTCCTTTTTCTAAATAGCTCTTGTTTGTTATTTCTTCTATTGTCCATGGGGAAGTGGAAAAGAATCTTTCCTCCGTAAGCCATGCGTGTCGTATGAGGCGACTAAAATGCCGGGAGCAATGGGCTAGTAACTCCTTCTCCTGTAGACATTTACTAAAAAAGAGAAGAAGAAAAACTTTATAAAACTGGGATGCTTGAATGTGTGTGGATGTAGTGCGGATGACAAGAAACAGATTATTGCTGATGTTATGAACGAAAAGAAGTTGGATGTCCTGGCCCTAAGCGAAACAAAGCTGAAGGGGGTAGGGGAGTTTCGGTGGGGGAAATAAATGGAATTAAATCTGGAGTATCTGAGAGAGTTAGAGCAAAGGAAGGGGTAGCAGTAATGTTGAAGGATCAGTTATGGAAGGAGAAAAGAGAATATGAATGTGTAAATTCAAGAATTATGTGGATTAAAGTAAAGGTTGGATGCGAAAAGTGGGTCATAATAAGCGTGTATGCACCTGGAGAAGAGAGGAATGTAGAGGAGAGAGAGAGATTTTGGGAGATGTTAGTTGAATGTATAGGAGCCTTTGAGCCAAATGAGAGAGTAATTGTGGTAGGGGACCTGAATGCTAAAGTAGGAGAAACTTTTAGAGAGGGTGTGGTAGGTAAGTTTGGGGTGCCAGGTGTAAATGATAATGGGAGCCCTTTGATTGAACTTTGTATAGAAAGGGGTTTAGTTACAGGTAATACATATTTTAAGAAAAAGAGGATAAATAAGTATACAAGATATGATGTAGGGCGAAATGACAGTAGTTTGTTGGATTATGTATTGGTAGATTAAAGACTGTTGAGTAGACTTCAGGATGTACATGTTTATAAAGGGGCCACAGATATATCAGATCACTTTCTAGTTGTAGCTACACTGAGAGTAAAAGGTAGATGGGATACAAGGAGAATAGAAGCATCAGGGAAGAGAGAGGTGAAGGTTTATAAACTAAAAGAGGAGGCAGTTAGGGTAAGATATAAACAGCTATTGGAGGATAGATGGGCTAATGAGAGCATAGGCAGTAGGGTCGAAGAGGTATGGGGTAGGTTTAAAAATGTAATGTTAGAGTGTTCAGCAGAAGTTTGTTGTTACAGGAAAGTGGGTGTGGGAGGTAAGAGGAGCGATTGGTGGAATGATGTAAAGAGAGTAGTAAGGGAGAAAAAAGTTAGCATATGAGAAGTTTTTACAAAGTAGAAGTGATGCAAGGAGGGAAGAGTATATGGAGAAAAGGAGAGAGGTTAAGAGAGTGGTGAAGCAATGTAAAAAGAGAGCAAATGAGAGAGTAGGTGAGATGTTATCAACAAATTTTGTTGAAAATAAGAAAGTTTTGGAGTGAGATTAACAAGTTAAGGAAGCCTAGAGAACAAATGGATTTGTCAGTTAAAAATAGGAGAGGAGAGTTATTAAATGGAGAGTTAGAGGTATTGGGAAAATGGAGGGAATATTTTGAGGAATTGTTAAATGTTGATGAAGATAGGGAAGCTGTGATTTCGTGTATAGGGCAAGGAGGAATAACATCTTGTAGGAGTGAGGAAGAGCCAGTTGTGAGTGTGGGGGAAGTTCGTGAGGCAGTAGGTAAAATGAAAGGGGGTAAGGCAGCTGGGATTGATGGGATAAAGATAGAAATGTTAAAAGCAGGTGGGGAATATAGTTTTGGAGTGGTTGGTGCAATTATTTAATAAATGTATGGAAGAGGGTAAGGTACCTAGGGATTGGCAGAGAGCATGCATAGTTCCTTTGTATAAAGGCAAAGTGGACAAAAGAGAGTGCCAAAATTATAGGGGGATAAGCCTGTTGAGTATACCTGGTAAAGTGTATGGTAGAGTTATTATTGAAAGAATTAAGAGTAAGACGGAGAATAGGATAGCAGATGAACAAGGAGGCTTTAGGAAAGGTAGGGGATGTGTGGACCAGGTGTTTACAGTGAAACATATAAGTGAACAGTATTTAGATAAGGCTAAAGAGGTCTTTGTGGCATTTATGGATTTGGAAAAGGCGTATGACAGGGTGGATAGGGGGGCAATGTGGCAGATGTTGCAGGTGTATGGTATAGGAGGTAGGTTACTGAAAGCAGTGAAGAGTTTTTATGAGGATAGTGAGGCTCAAGTTAGAGTATGTAGGAAAGAGGGAAATTATTTCCCAGTAGAAGAAGGCCTTAGACAAGGATGTGTGATGTCACCGTGGTTGTTTAATATATTTTTAGATGGGGTTGTAAGAGAAATAAATGCTAGGGTCTTGGCAAGAGGCGTGGAGTTAAAAGATAAAGAATCACACATAAAGTGGGAGTTGTCACAGTTGCTCTTTGCTGATGACACTGTGCTCTTGGGAGATTCTGAAGAAAAGTTGCAGAGATTGGTGGATGAATTTGGTAGGGTATGCAAAAGAAGAAAATTAAAAGTGAATACAGGAAAGAGTAAGGTTATGGGGATAACAAAAAGATTAGGTGATGAAAGATTGGATATCAGATTGGAAGGAGAGAGTATTGAGGAGGTGAATGTATTCAGATATTTGGGAGTGGACGTGTCAGCGGATGGGTCTATGAAAGATGAGGTGAATCATAGAATTGATGAGGGGAAAAGGGTGAGTGGTGCACTTAGGAGTCTGTGGAGACAAAGAACTTTGTCCTTGGAGGCAAAGAGGGGAATGTATGAGAGTATAGTTTTACCAATGCTCTTATATGGGTGTGAAGCATGAGTGATGAATTTTGCAGCGAGGAGAAGGCTGGAGGCAGTGGAGATGTCATGTCTGAGGGCAATGTGTGGTGTGGATATAATGCAGAGAATTCGTAGTTTGGAAGTTAGGAGGAGGTGCGGGATTACCAAAACTGTTGTCCAGAGGGCTGAGGAAGGGTTGTTGAGGTGGTTCGGACATGTAAAGAGAATGGAGCGAAACAGAGCGACTTCAAGAGTGTATCAGTCTGTAGTGGAAGGAAGGCGGGGTAGGGGTCGGCCTAGGAAAGGTTGGAGGGAGGGGGTAAAGGAGGTTCTGTGTACGAGGGGCCTGGACTTCCAGCAGGCATGCGTGAGCGTGTTTGATAGGAGTGAATGGAGACAAATGGTTTTTAATACTTGACGTGCTGTTGGAGTGTGAGCTAAGTAACATTTATGAAGGGGTTCAGGGAAACCAGCAGGCCGGACTTAAGAACATAAGAATGTAGGAACACTGCAGAAGGCCTACTGGCCCATACGAGGCAGGTCCTCATCAAAACGACATCTACCTAAAGCTACTCAAGAAATAACTCCCATACCCCATGACACCAATCAATCCCAGCCCCTCCCACTCATATATTTGTCCAGTCTCTTCTTAAAGCTACCCAAGGTCCTAGCCTCTATCACCCCACTGGGAAGACTGTTCCACACATCTACAACTCTGTTAGAAAACCAGTACTTACCTATGTCCTTTCTAAATCTAAATTTATCCAACTTAAATGCATTATTCCTGGTTCTTACCTGGTTCGACACCCTCAGTACTTTATTAATGTCTCCCTTGTTTATGCCCGTCATCCACTTATACACTTCAATGATATCTCCCCTCATTCTACGCCTCTCCAGAGAGTGGAGATTTAAGGCTTTAAGTCTATCTTCATACGGGAGGTTCCTTACACAGTAAATCATTTTAGTCATTCTTCTCTGTATGTTCTCTAATGAGTCCTGGAGATGGGAAGTACAGTGCCTGCACTCTGAAGGAGGGGTGTTAATGTTGCAGTTTAAAAACTGTAGTGTAAAGCACCCTTATGGCAAGACAGTGATGGAGTGAATGATGGTGAAAGTTTTTCTTTTTCAGGCCACCCTGCCTTGGTGGGAATCGGCCAGTGTGATAATATAATATAAAAAATGAAAAGAACCTTGAAATGGAGCTCAAAATGGGGGAAATGTTTGATTTTTGCCGATGTTCAAAAATAAACAAATGATGTCATTTTCCAATAAATGTCCAAGTAGCCATTCTAATATGCAGTCATAGATGGGTTGACATTATTTCTACAATTATTACAATATTGCAGTTGTCTGCATAACAGTAAATCTTCTATTTTTTGTTTGAATAAAAATTCAAAATAGAAAGCAAGAGTAGTATCATAAGGGCCTGGAGATGTGACTGATGAACAAAGAAAATAATATTTTAGAGCCAGGAATATCTGCATTGTTCATTTTGGACCTTATTTTGAAATTGTCATATTTTTTAATTTTCGTGAAAATGGCCAAATTGCAAATTTCTGAGCACGTTATTGGGTAGTTGAAATCAGTAAATGGGCAGTTTCTTGTACTCAGTTGATAGAAAAAATGGAGTTCTAAAGAAATAGCTATGAGTTTGGTCGACTGGAACAACGGAATTAGCCGAAAAATAGGGCTCAAAGTGGGTGAAATCGCCGATTCATAAATATCGCCGAGGTTGCTAACTTCGCAAGAGTTTAATTCTGCCAGTTTTCCATGAAATTTCGTTCTTTTGGTGTCATCACAATCTGGAAAAGCTTCTCTTATTTCGTAAGATTTTTTTTTTGCAACACCAGGAGACACCTCAGGATTTGGGGTTGCGACAGTCAAGGGGTTAATGGATACCTGATAAATGGTACAGTTGGTGATTGACAACAAGATGAAGTGTTGCTGCTTAAGATAAGGAATGTACTATGGATGCATTAAATTAATGAAAGGATATACAGCATCTTGCCTCGGTGGGATATGGCCGGTTTGTTCAAAGATGAAGATATGCAGCATATATTTAAAGATGGAAATTTTTTCAGCTTGGACGCTAAAGCATCAAATATTCAAGTAACAGTAAGACAAGGTGGCCTCAAGCTCTTGCAGATTCAGGATAATGGAACAGGTAAATTGATTAATATTTAAAACATTATTTACTTGATATATTTTATGTAAGTCATAAATATTTATGTATACATTGGTCCCTCAATTATTGTCCATAATCTGTTCCTTGAAGTGGGACTATTATCGAAATAGACGATTTTCGAATCAATTTTCCCCATAAAAAATAATGTAAATACAATTAATCCATTCCTGACACCCAGAAGTATTAAAACAAAAATATTTTTTACATGAAATATAGATGTAGTACATAAACAATACAATGGGACATGATGAATGAAATATTAACAGCATAACACTTACCTTTATTGGCGATTCTTCTTAGTGTATGGAAGACTGGAGGAGGAGAGAGATTGGATTAGTTACTCTTTGGAAGAGGAATCCCCTTCCATCAACACCTCAGGTACCAAGTGCTTTTCTGGGGCTACTTCTCTTCTTTGTTACTTAATGCCACTAGGACCAGCTTGAGAGTCACTGGAGTCCTGTCTCGCAAAAAAACTGTCCAGAGAGCTCTGTTTCTGGCGTCTCTTTAAAGCTTCCCTAAAATGGGCCAAGACTCTGCCACTGTACAAGTTGCCGATATGGCTTGCAACATCCTTCTCAGGGTGATGTTTCTCCATAAATCTTTCCATCCTTCCCCATATTTCAAAAATCTCCTTAATTTCTGAAGAAGGCACCTTCTTCCATCTCTCTTCCTCCTCCTCTGCAGCAAGATTCTGAACTGTGATCTGTTGCTGTTCCTGCTGAAGCTCTTGCAGCTCCTCAGTGGTTAGCTCTTCGTTGTAGTCCTCCACCAACTCTTCCACATCCTCCAAACTCACATCCAACCCCATGGAACTCCCCAATGCCACAATAGATTTCACAACTCACATAGGCTCATCAGGGTCAGCGACAAACCCTTCAAAATCCCTCTTGTGGACACAATCTGGCCACAATTTTCTCCAAGCAACAACGGCTTCCTTGATTTCCTTTTTCTTTGCCACGATGGAAGATATGGTTGTATGGAGTTTGTTATACATCCTGGCCAGTTCGGCCACACATATGCCACTTTCATATTGTTCAATGATTTTTTCTTAAATTCAATTGTATTTCTCACCTTCTTTACCAAAGGCTTGGCACTAGGAGCTTTCTTTGGAGCCATGGTAGCTTATTTAGCACTTGCAAGCACTAAAATGAATGGAATATTATGAAATATTTTGTATGAACACGTGAGGGGACCGTCACTCACTGGTAAACAATGGCACACTGGCTGGGAAGGGAGGTCGAGGCGGCTCAGAGCTGTGAGTACGCGTCCAGGACGAAAGACGATTAGCAAGTTAACGGACCATTTGCGAGACAATGTTTAGACGAAATAACGAGACTATTTCCGAAATGGACGACTTTCAGGCTGGATGATTATTGAGGGACCACTGTATTTTTGTTTTAGCTATAGTGGGAAATTTATTACTGTCTATAAGAAGTCTGTTTATCTATTAAACTTTGGTTCTTATTTTAATTTTGCTTGGTTTCAGAGACACGACAGGAATATTTAGCACCATTCTGCCATGTTTCCATGTATAATTATTTTCCCTTTTCACTTTCTTTAAGAGCATTTTTTAATCACACAGGTATTAGGAAAGAAGATCTTGACATTGTGTGCGAACGTTTTACAACTAGCAAATTGCGAGAGTTTGGTGACCTAGCATCAATTGATACATATGGGTTTCGTGGCGAAGCTCTTGCATCAATCAGCCATGTGGCTCACCTGACTATCACCACACGTACTAAGGACTCCAAGTGTGCATGGAAGTAAGGATATGCACTTAAATATTTTAAACTCTATTGAGGATAAATGGTATAAATACTGACACTGAAAAAGTAGAAATAAATACTGTATGATGTGATCATCACTCATCTCTATATCCAGCAATTTCAACCAGAACAACAGCTTTTACAACATAGTTGAACCTCTTGCCAGGAAACTTAATCATTATCCTACATAGGTAACAGACCTGCTAGCCCATGCTGGGCAGGTCCTTCTCAAATTGAACCTCTTCTCAGCGATCAACGTCAACATTCCTCACCTGACCATTCACGTCATTGTGCTCACTATATATATACTCGCGTACTCTCTGCTCAGATAGATCTGTGACTTAATAAAGCCCATTGTCTGGTTGAAACTGTCAATAAAGGATCACATTATACTGCTTTTGTTTACTTTTGCATTTTAAACTCAGTTGCTTGAGTGATGTACATGCTCATCTGCACAAGTTCTAATTAAGGTTGTATTTTCAAGGTCATTAAGAGTGAATTTGCAGTTAAAAAAAATATTTCAGTGGGGAAGGACAATACATTTCAAACCCCCTAGCCTTTATATCCAAGTTAAGCATTAATTTTTTTTTTTTTCTGATGAACTGTATTGTAAATAAGTCATCTAATAGACAGGTTGGTTAATAATTATGTAAGATATAATATATGTGAATTATGGATCTGTTAGCCAATCTCACAGATAATAGTGCAATGCTGTATGAGAGTTGCAGTTCCAGGAGCCCAGGTTATGAATCACTGCATGAAACCCTACTTAATTTTCAGGTCAGGGAGCGAGGCTTGCAGATAATGCTATATACAAACCTATAGGTGGATGACACATTCAGTGTAAAACCAGAGTCCTTTGTCAATGAATTTGCATATAAAAAATTATGAATATACAGTAGTGTACCAAACAGTTTATAAGTGCTGTAATATTACTTTTGCATTTTTCTCCTCTTGCAAATTATTCTGAATTCAAAATCTGATTTTTTTTGTCTTGTACAAACCACTGTAATGCTGATGTATGTGTGTTATTGTAGTAGCAAATTTTAGTAATGTCATAAGTCTTTATTTTACAGAGTTTCATATGTTGATGGTAAGCCAACTGGAGCAGCAAAACCCTGTGCAGGAAACCAAGGGACACAAATATCTGTTGAGGATTTGTTTTACAATGTAGCTACACGTAGAAAGGCACTTAAAAGTGCCTCTGAAGAACATGCAAAAGTAGCAGAGGTAGGAAGAATATATACTAATACAGTGCCTTCATTATTATTAGCAGTTTGGAGGGATATGTTGTGTATCTTTATACGTATATGCTTCTAAACTGTTGTGTTCTGAGCACCTCTGCAAAAACAGTGATTATGTGTGAGTGAAAGTTTTGAATAATGATGAAAGTATTTTCTTTTTGGGGATTTTCTTTCTTTTTTTGGGTCACCCTGCCTCGGTGGGAGACGGCCGACTTGTTGGGAAAAAAAAAAAAAGTGCCTTCACTCAGAAGGATGGGGAAGGATGTTTACAGGTGGGAGGGGCATCTGGACAGTAGTATCTGTGTGCTCTGGCAAGACAGTGTTAAGTGAAGAACATATGGAAAAATAGAACCTCACAAGGAGCTTAAAATAATTTTTTGAAAATTGCCTAAAAGAAAATTAAAACGTGCAACTTATCTTGGTTTAAATTATGGTTGGTGCTTATTGATGTATGTGTGAAGAGGGATGATGTAGCTCTGTACAATAACTATAAACTTGTGGTAGGCAGTATCAGCTACCATTAACTGCTCAACATGTAAATATCAGTAAAAATAAGCTAAATTTCCCTACCAAATTGTATCAGACATATAGGAACATGCAATACAATAGTTTTTTTAATTAACACATCGGCCATTTCCCACAAAGGCGGGGTGGCTTGAAAAAGAAAAACTTTCATTATCATTCACTCCATCATTGTCTTGCCAGAGGTGTGCTTACTCTATAGTTATAAAACTGCAACAGTAACACCCTTCCTTCAGAGTGCAGGCACTGTACTTCCCATCTCTTAATAAAATGATGTGGGAGGTGGTTGTTGCTGCTTTTAAGGTCTACAACAGCTGTTGTTACGTACCTGCTCCCAGTGGTGTGAAAGGCTGCATCCCAAAGAAGTGGAGGTGCCAACTATGGGTTGGCTGATTACTGTGTAAGCTAGGGTGGTACTCTAAACCCTCATCACCAATAACTTGCCATAGCTGTGCCTCACTCCAGACCATACCTCCAATACACATTTTTTCATTTGATAACTTTTGACAATTTATTATCAATCACCATTATGCTCAAAGAGTGTAAAAATAGAGCTAAAGGCACTAGTATGTCTAATTACAGTGTAATTATGGGCTGATTCTCTGAGACCAAAGTTGTGTTACAGTTTGCATCACATCAGCACTAGCTCTTAGCATAATTAAAATTTTTTTTCAAAACCATCACTCTCGATTAATTTTCTTATCTGTGCCCCTTTCCCTAGCATCACCAGTATTCCTGTGGTTAATACTAAATGAGAAGACTGGGTGATGAGAATATCTAAAAAAAATTTGAGGAACATGGAGACACCATACATGTAACACTTCTAGAATGCCACTGTAGATGGTGTGGGTGCAATAACATTGTGTCAAGCTGGCATTCCCTTAAACAATAGACTTGTTCGTAGGCCAAACCTGGCAAAGCCATTGGAGCTTTTTCATGTAACATGAATCCATGCTGATATTTTACATTTTGCATCATGTGCTCAGAGGCTTTTCTGCACAAGTCGGTTTATAGTGGCACTTTTTCAGTCATGTGTTGAATTCACCTTTACTGGGTTTGCATAAAACAGTGTCCTACTATATTTGATTAAATTTTAATTAAATAAATAATTTTACATTATAGATTTCTTACCTAAATATTTTCATGTGTCCACAGGTGGTGAGCAGATATGCTATACACAACTACAGTGTGGGCTTCACACTTAAAAAGCAAGGAGACAATGCAACAGATATTCGTACCCCACCAAACTCGACTGTTGTTGATAATGTTCGCACAATTTATGGCCCGTCTGTTGCACGAGAACTGCTAGAACTGTCGTGTGAAGACACAAACCTTAAGTTCTTGGCAAAAGGTTACATTAGCAATGCCAACTACTCTGTAAAGAAGTGCATTTTTTTGCTTTTTATTAATCATAGATTGGTGGAATCAACAGGTGAGAAGAGTTCAGAGTTTTTATGATTGCCAAAAAAAATTTAATTTTTCCTTTACAGACTGTCCATCTCCCATTGAGGTAGGGTGGCCTAACAAAGAAAAAATATTCAGCATCACTCATTCAATCACTGTTTCCAGAAGCATACTGACATTCTTCAGAGCACAGGCACTGTGTTACTCCACCTCCAGGCCTCAATAAATGTTACCTTGCTCATACTTCATGTCAAGCCATAAAAACCACTTGTCTCAACTCACTCCTATCTTAACATGCTAACACAAGCCTGTTGGATATCCATGCCCCTAGTACTCAAACCCTCCTTAACCCTCTTCCTATAGTCTTCCCAGGGGCATTCCCTACCCCTCCTTCCCTCCACCCCAAATTTATATGCCCTCCTAGTCATCATATTTTGCTTTGTCTTTTCTAAATTCCTGAACCTCATCATCAACCCCTATTCAATACCATATTAATCTTTAATAAAATCTAGTCTATAGTATATTCTTGTTGCCTTTAACTGGAACAGATTTAGCATATGTAATGACTAGGATTATGAAGTACATTTATACTTACATTTTTCATGAGTGACCAGTGATAATTTGAAATTTAATTTGATTTTTGCTATATAAAACATAACTACTGTAATGTGTTGTTATTCTGCTAAACCTGTGATACAAGTCTATTATTTAATTATGAGGTTATTTTTCATTCTTTGCATTCTTTCAGCCCTTAGAAAAGCCATTGAAACTGTCTATTCATCATACCTGCCAAAGAATAGCCACCCATTTATATACTTGAGCTTGGAGATTGCCCCTCAGAATGTTGATGTTAATGTGCATCCAACAAAACATGAAGTCCACTTTCTACATGAAGAATCCATTGTTGAAAAGATTCAGCAAGCAGTAGAATCAAAGTTATTGGGATGTAATTCGTCTAGGACATTTTATACTCAGGCAAGCTTTTAATTAATCCTCATTGTTATATTGTTTTTTCCACTTAATGAGGTAGATATGTTTTGGTGTAGTAAGTGATCACTTATAAAGACAGATCTTTGCCTCGTGTCACTAAACATTAAAATTGTCTGATAAACAACTGTTCCACAAATAGCATTTACAGTGACTCTTTTATTAACACAACGTCAGAGACCAAATTCAGCAAAATGCAATGAAAAGCATCAACCATAATTGATTTGTGCTGAAGATTCTGATACATGTATATGTAATGTAAGTTGTGAAAGCCTGGAGAATGATTCACAAAAATCCTGCCAGGAGCATGGTGGGTAATTTTACCCTCTGTGCTAGCTTGGGTCTAGCAGGTGAGGCCATATTTATATTGGAGGCCCAGCATCACCCTCCACATTGCCAACAGTTGTTCTCTCAAAGTTTGGTGTTACTGGCCTTGTGTGGATATTATCACCACCCTGTCCAAAAGAAATACTAGTGGTGCTGCAGGTGATCAAAAGAAAATTAAGGGTGAAATTCTGAAGGTTTCTAAGAAAATTAAGATATTAGATCTGTTTTGAACTGGGTCGTGAGGAGTGTGTACTGCCTCTGCCTTTGGTCAAAGTGAATTGACCATTTATATCATTTGAGACACTTGAGTTCTCTAGATTGTGACCTGCTGAAAATTTTATAGCAGAACAGTTACTGAATATGTGGATTGACGAAAAGACAAAGAAATGTGCCCCACTTCATGGTCCGATAAAAAGACAATAAACCTTATATTACTGTAAGAGATGTGTGTAAAACAGGATGGAAACATTCACAAGAGTGTACATTTAGTCCTGGTTGGTTCTTCTTGGTTACCCTCCCTTCAAAGGAGGTGCCTTGATACTGTTGAAGGGGTCTTGATCTAGGGAATTGGAGCTACCCTTCCTTAGATTAAACTTGATTGCTTTCCATTCCCTAGGAACTGGATGACCCCTCCAGGTTTAGTAGTTACCATATCAGACAATGGATAAACACTGCAAGACTCAGAGATAATTAGAAATTGAAACAGACATATATGTACTATGCTGAGACTATATACAGCCTCTCCTCACCATGTCGGTAAACGAATTCGTCGCTAAGTGAGGAGCATACTATACTGGTAGTGGGTTTGTCATCCATCTTTGATATTGTTTTAATGTCACCTTTGCACCATCTATAACATTTCTGGTAAATTTTTAAATGTTCATACAGTAATGTACTGTATATTGTATTAAAAAGAGTATAGGAAATTAGCACTAATTAACATTATTTAGGTATGCATACTGGTCAGAGAGCCAGTCGTAAGTCTGAGTTGTCGGTAAACGAGTATACGTCGCTAAGTGAGGAGAGGCTGTATTTCAATACCTCCCAATGATTTGTATAATTATTTTTATAAAGAGTTTAACAGTTATCATTAATAATAAATAAAATGATTATCAATTCCCTGTTTCTCTATTCCCATAATGTGAATAAGCCAAGTGCACGCACACTCATCCTTGTAATATTCCTCAAGGGATGTGCCTTGATGTTGAAGGGGCTCTTAATCCAAAGAATTGGACCAGTCTTTACTGCCATTGGATTGACTTACTGCCTCTCATTTTGTTAGTGGTTGTATAACCACTGTAGGGTCATGCTTGTGATGAGTTGTTGATAATTTGGCAACTTTCTCCTTGGTTACAACACTTACTTAAATGTATTTAACTTCACAGGCTCTTCTTCCTGGTGCAAGCACAGTTCCAAGTGTGCCTGGAAAAGGATCCATTGATACGAATGATAATGAAACAGTAGATAAGAAGGATAAGGTCTATGCCCACCAGATGGTTCGTACAGATTCTCGTGACCAGAAACTAGAAAAATTCCTTACAAAGTGAGTAAACATGCTTGTGCTCGCACTAGCAAGAAGTGTGGTTCTTCATACTTGATTTTGACCAGATCTTTAGTTTTTAAAGTATTCTCAAGTCATTAGTTAAATTTCCTGTAATGCAAATTGTAAGCAAGTGAATCTTATTATATTGAGTTGCATCAGCATTTGTACTCTAACAGGCATTTATATTTTTTCATTAATTCACTTTGCACTAATGTATATAAAATTTGAATTTACAGCTAACTTATTTCATGTACGTGTATTTGTAATTTGTGTTTTCAGCAACATGCCATTTAAGTTTTTGTTTGGAATTATAATAGGTTGCAGGCAAAAAACTTTGATGTTGGGTGGGATATTTTATCTCTGTGCTAGAGCAATGCCTTTGTTGTAGGGGCAAAACCTATCATCATTCAAAGGTGTAAACACAACCCATGTGGTCAATTCCCTTTTGAATGTGTCTCATACCATACTGTCTTTAGTGTTTATCTGCTGTTTATAGATAAATACTGTACTAGAATTAGAGGGATGTCTTTTTACAAACTTATCAGCAATCTCTCTTAATTTTAAATGCTAATTTTTTATGCCATCATGAAATAATTTTCATATTTGCATTTTCTCATCCTTGTATTGTTGGCATTTTAGGCCAGCAGTAAATAAGAATGTGGTTGAAGAAGAGGACTTTCAAGAAGATAAACAGGCCAGGTCTAGCACTGAAGAACAAAATAGGTAAATTAAAAACTAAGATTTTAGAAGAATGTATTATCTGACAGATTAAAATATTTGAGTTCAATGTTTGCCAGTTTGTCAGAATTTGTACCAGATAAAAGTAATAATGAATCTTATAATATTTGTAATCTAACTGTGAAATACTCTAGAAAAGTCATTCTGGAGAAGTTATAATTTAAAGTTATGTTTTAAAGTACAGCATGACATTTCAGACGTGATATTAAGCTAACAAGTGTCATGACATTGAGGTCACAGTCAGAAAGCAGCTGTCATGCAGGACTTCTAGAAACTGTGAAAAACATGACTTTTGTAGGTTGTGTTAATCCTGAGTATGCTCTCATCCAACATGTCAGTAAGCTTTACCTAACAAACACTTCAGCACTCAGGTAAATACTGTTCATTCATTTATTTAATATATACCTGGTACATATATATACAGTACTACATGATAATACTGTACTTGAATTCTGACCATGAGATTTCAGGAATAACTATTGATTAGCTGTAATGAAAATTGTACCTTCCCATTTCTTTATTCTGGAAAATTTTATGCAGTGCAGTGTAAGAGAGATACAACAGCTTGTATTAATCTTAACAAGGATGGCTTTCATCATGAGATGCCTGACATGGTATATTATGCTGTCTTCATGTATCTAGTAATTAAACTGCCTATTTTTCTTCTCGGTGAAATCTTTGTTAGGGTGACTTAAAGAGTCAAGTCATTATTGTGCCAAGTCTGGAATTAATTTTTTTTTCTTTGAGAAATGATAAACCACTAATGAGAAACTATCTTATTTTCTTGTTAAGCTTTACTTTTTTTTTCTGCCCATCTTATTTTCTTGTTAAGCTTTACTTTTTTTTTCTGCCCAATAGCGAAGAACTGTTTTATCAGATTATGCTGAATGATTTTGGCAACTTTGGCATCCTGAAACTTTCGGTGAGTAGTAATTACTTTTCTAAACACTTTCGTTTGTTTTTGAGATCTCTATACCATTGGTATATATGCCAAGTGATATTATCATAATTTTTTTTTTTTTAAACACTCAAGCTGTCTACCACCGAGGTAAGGTGACCCTGACATAAAAGAAAACACTTTCATTCATTTAACCATTATATTTCAATTGCTGTTCATACACAGGTAACACTCACTTGGGAGACTGTGTAACTAGATCATGGCCCAAGTCGGACCAAAACAACATCATAAGTTTTAGTTTTCTGAGTATGGGTTATTTGTGTATTGTGGGTTTCACAGTAGTGTGCCTTTTTTTATTCTCTCCAGACAGCAATGGAGTGAGTGAATGCCAGCATCGCAGTTCAGATGACCCTCCAAACCGCAGTACCTTCACCCCTCCTTCAGAGTACACTTTCCGCCTCCAGGTCTAAAGTCCGGTTAACTGGACTTCACGTACGGAACTTTCTTCAGTGCCCCAGAGAAAGTGAAGGAAACCCAAATTGACTGATTTTATAAAACCAGTTCATGGTATATGGGGGTCAGCATGGCAGAATAGTGTCATGCACCACAGGAATTCCTACTCATCTTGCTAAAAAGCACTAGAAAGAGACTATAGGGATACCCTTTGAGGGGGTTGAGTTCAAAGACACTAGACATGTACTCAAATTATGCCATTCACTTTTGCAATCCATTGTGTTAGTATGCTTTTGGGGGAGTCTGAAGAAAAGTTGCAATGGTTGGCAGATAAATTTGGGAGAGTATGTAAAAGAAGAAAATTAAAGGTGAATGTAGAAAACATCAAGGTGATGAGGGTAACAAAAAGTCTAGGCAGTAATAGCCTGAAGAAGTTTATCTATGGAGAAACAAAAAGGAAATGTACCAGAATATAGTGGCACAAACACGATTTATATGGGCATAAATCATGGGTTTTGAATGCTGCAGTGAGGAGGCTAGAGGCATTGGAGATGTCATGTTTGAGAGCAGTGTATGGTGTGACTATCATGTAGAGAATTCAGAGCTTATAAATTAAAAGGTAATGTAGGGTCACCAAGGCTATAGTTCAGAGGAGTGAGGAGAGACTGTTGAAGTGATTTGAGCATGTAGAGAGGATGGAGATGGATTAGATGATGAAGAGGGTGTAAGGGAGAGAGTAAGATTTGTCCCAGGAATGGCTGGTGGGAGGGGGCAAAAGAGGCTGAGTTTTAGCAGCTTGAGCATCCAGCAGGCTTGTGTGAGCATGTTAGATAAGCATGAATGGAGACAAATGAATTTTTAATGGACGTGCTGGTGGAGTGTGTGTAATGCAGCTTTTATAAGAAGGGATTCAGGGAACCTAGTTAGCTAGACTTGAATCCTGGAATTGGGAAGGGCAGTGTCTGCACTCTGAAGGGGTGGGGAAGTTGCAGTTGAATGGTCAACTGAACTGCATTGTCAGCACATTTCTAGAATGATGAATGCATTATTTCTTTGGGTTGCCCTTCCTTAGCTGAGACAGCCACTGAGGCTGAAAAAAGGTTTTCACAAGTATTACCCCTCAAGGAAGGTTCCTTGATGCTGGTGAGGGGCTCTTGCTCTAGGGAATTGGATCTTGCTTCAGTTCCCTGAATTAAACCTGAATACCTTCCATCTCCCCCACAGGCACTGTATAATTCTACGGGTTTAGCACTTCCCCCTTGATTATTATATTATTATTCAGAAGTATTAGTCTTTTCCTTTTTCGATGAACCATTGTTATATAAAATATAGATCTCGAAAGAAACAGAGGTTTCACACATTCTAATTATCATCACTAGTGTTTGTAAGAACATAAGAAAGAAGGAACACTGCAACAGGCCTACTGACCCATGCAAAGCAGGTCCATGCCACCCCCCTGGCTTAGTACAATGGTCACCTAGTCAGGTCACTTCCACTTAAGGAAGGAGCACGGCACCAGACCTGGTAGCACAAGCTAGTCAGGTCCAACTCACATCCACCCACACCCACTCATGTATTTATCCAACCTATTTTTAAAAGTACTCAAGGCCCTAGCTTCTATGACGGTACTTGAGAATTTGTTCCACTCATGCACAACTCTATTACCAAACCAGTGCTTTCCTATGTCCTTCTTGAATCTGAACTTTTCCAACTTGAAACCATTGCTGCGAGTCCTGTCTTGGCTGGATATTTTCAGCACACTATTTACATCCCCTTTATTCCTGTTTTCCATTTATACACCTCAATCATACCCCCCTAATTATCTGTAATTTCACTTTTGACATGATATTGATCATATAGAGGGGATAGTACTGTAATATGAGTGTGTATATGCTATGGTTATCAACAAATTTATACATGTATAACTCTTAAAGTATTGATACCCTTAAGGGAGGTGTCTCGATGTCCGTGAAGTGCTCTTGATCTGAGGACTTTGACTTATCCTCTTTCCTTAAATTGAACTTGAATGCTTCCCATTTCCCAGGTGCAGTATGACCCATATGGGTTTAGTGCTTCCCCCTGATTAAAATAAAGTATTAATATATGTACTGTACTATTACTGTACATTTCTGTATTTTCATTTGTGCTGATGTGTATATGCATGTGTGTTTTTGATTAAATTAGCCATTAACCTTTTCAATGTAAAGATTTAATGTTTCGTCGTTTTTCCAGACCCCAGCAAGTATTTATGAGCTAGCTATGATTGCATTTGATATGGAAGAAAGTGGCTGGACAGAGGCAGATGGGACAAAGGAAGATTTGGCCACTTATATTAAGACAATGTTGCTGTCTAAGGTGCATATGCTAGATGACTACTTCAGTTTGCAGATTGATGAAAAAGGCAACCTTTGTACTTTACCATATCTACTAGGTTGGTATCATTATTGATAAAGGTAAACCAAATTAGTAAAGCAATTTTCTTGAAGTGTTTTTCAGAGAAATGCAGTAAAATTGATAGTTTAGAAAGTTTTAATATCTTGAACTAATTTATTTTGCTGCATTAACTATTGGCACAAGGATTCTCCAAACCTATCTCAGTGTATTGGAGCAGCTATCTAACTGAACGAAGGATAAGCCACTGTACAGTCTACCAAGCATACATTCCATCTTGTCTCTCTTCCAGTTACAGATGTTTTACATAATTTTGAAAATCATATATGATAGAAAGTTTATACTGATGTAGATGTTTTATATACAGTAGACCGTCTTTTAACTCGGTAGTTATGTTCCTGAAAATGCCGTGGTAGTTAAAACCGTGTTAGACAAACTGAAGAACTTATGGGAAAAATAAGGTTACATTCCTGGGAGTTCCCAAAGAGCCAAACAACTTTTGTTTAGACCAACAGATCTTACAAAAATAAAATTGATTATGTAATTGTCGTTCACTGTCATGATGTATTATGTTTTTACTGCTTAGATTACAAATGCTGTATAGTCCTTGTGGCTTAGCGCTTCTTTTTGATTATAATAATAATAGATTACAAATGCAACAGAAATAATAGTATTTCTTACCTTAAATTGTGTTTATGGATGATTGTGGAGAATGGAGAGTTATGCTGTGGCCCTACTGGGCTGAGGTGGATGGTAGAGGTTCTGGTACTGAAGCCGATGGTTGTACTGAGTGTGCATTTATCAGTCAGTCAATCATCACACACTCATATTTACTTAGCAGAGGATGGTCCTACACACGTATGAACCCAAGGCTGGGACAGGAGTGGTGGGTTATGGCGGTAGGTCTCCCCCATTGACTCAGTGGTCTAACCCACAGCCAGGCATAGTGTATCCAGTGACGCTCCAAATTTTTTCCCCTCCCGCAAACTGAACTGTGTTAAGTTAATTTTACGAAGTGTTATACAAAAATATGCTGCAATTCTACACTAGTGTTATAACCAAAACGTGCCAAACAAAACCGTATCAAACGACTGTCTACTGTAATTTTAAAATCATTTATGATAGGTTTTCAAAACATTAGTTGAGAGGTCTAATGAGCATGACTAAAACAAACTAAACACTTGAGCAGTGAGGGAAAAGGTTGGCAGCCATGGTTTGGTATCTGGCTGTATGGAAGCAGATTTTAAAAACTGTACGTACTGGGCATTACTGATTTTTTATGGATTTATACTATTATCATCACAATCAAAACTAAGCACTAAACCCACAATGGCCATATAGTGTTGTTTATAGCACTGTGCTTTACTTAATTTTTAGGTAGTTTTTTTATCATATAACATTGCACAGACCAAGGTTGCATAATACAGTAGGGCCCTGCTTTATGGCGTTTTGCCTTACGGTGTTCTGCTAAAATGGTGATTTCAAATCATGACCAAAATTCGCTATGCAGCTCCCCATTTTTCTAATATGGCATGCCCCACCCAGTTTGTTTACATTCTCTGTGAGCACATCTCTCTTATGTCTGGAAACTTTCCAAAATTTCAAGAATTTTAAAGTTATTGCATATTTTATGTGTACAGGTCCTCCATCACAAATCCGGCATCATTGGGACCTGTAGTGTGCCGGATTACTGAGTTTGCCAGAGTGGTTAGGTTAGAATACACTTAATAAAATTAACCAACTTGACTTACACAAAGTTCATTGAACATCGGCAAAAATCGAACATTTCCACTACTTTGAGCTCAATTTCAAGGTACTTTTCGTCATGAAAGCAATCAAAATTATGTCTATTTCTGTAATATATCTTCCATTCTATCAAATGAGACCAAAAAAACTAGAATACAGTGGACCCCCGCTTAACGATCACCTCCAAATGTGACCAATTATGTAAGTGTATTTATGTAAGTGCGTTTGTACGTGTATGTTTGGGGGTCTGAAATGGACTAATCTACTTCACAATATTCCTTATGGGAACAAATTCGGTCAGTACTGGTACCTGAACATACTTCTGGAATGAAAAAAGATCGTTAATCGGGGGTCCACTGTACAACCATAAAAACCATACAAAAATATACTACAAAGAGGCGGCTAATAGCTGAGAAGTGAACTCCCTTATTTATTGTCCGTCTTTTTTATTTTTGGTGTACAATAAGAAGCATCTTTCCATCATACATTGCCCAAGTTTCAATGAGATAGCCCAACAAACAACTGAGAAAAAAAAACAATATTTACCAAAAATCATGGCAAGCCCAAGCCAGGTACTGGAAATAAGTCACTTTGTCTGACTTTTTTGGGTTATCCTAGGTTCTCTATACATACGCTACTATGTATGATAATCTGTGTAACTGTATTTGTGTATAGTACCTGAATAAACTTACTTCTAGTCTGTCGACTGAGTACAAGAAACCGCCCATTCACCTATTTCAACTACCCAATAAAGTGGTCAGAAATTGGCCAATTTCAAAATAGGGTCCAGAATAGACAATGTAGACATTCCTGGCACCAAAATAACATTTTCTCTGTTCGTTCATCCACTGCCCCGCTGTTCTCCGTAACCTGTTACTCATCCATCTCCCTTTTGCCACCTGATGCCCTCGCTTCCTTCCTGCCCTGCAGCGCTGTATAGCCCTTGTGGCTTAGCGCTTCTTTTTGATTATAATAATAATTCTCTGTTCATTAGTCATGGCTCCAGGCCCCTCTTATATTACTCTTGCTTACCATTTAGAATTTTTATTCACACAAAAAAATAGAAGATTTACTGTTATGCAGACTACTGCATTATTGTAATTGTATAAATAATGTCAACCCATTCTTGACTGCGTGTTGGAACTTGGACTGGCAGGCAGACAGGTATTGGACAGTGATGTCATTTGTTTACTTGAACTTCGCTAAAGAATAGAACTTTTCTGCTACTGTGAGTGCAATTTCAAGGTACTTTTCATCAAGAAAGCAATCAAAATCATATCTATTTCTGTAATATATCTTCCATTCAATCAAAATCAAAATCATATCTATTTCTGTAATATATCTTCCATTCAATCAAATGAGAACGAAAAAATGAGAATTTTTTTTTTTTTTTTTTTCAACAAGTTGGTCGTCTCCCACCGAGGCAGGGTGACCCAAAAAAAAGAAAGAATATAACCATGAAAACCATACAAAAATATACCGCTAAGCGGCCACTAATGGCTGAGAAGTGAACTCCGCTATTTATGGTCTGATTTCTTTCATTTTTGGTGTACATTAAGAAGTATCTTTCCATCATACATTGCCCAAGTTTCAATAAGATAACCCAACAAATGAGAAAATAATAATAATATTAATAATAATAATTTACTACACGTACATACACATAGGATACAGACATAGCTGACATCAGTGACATACTACTATATAGAAAGCAGCTTGTTATGCAGAATATTTCAAGCAAATTAGGTCATTGTCCCAGGATAACACCCACACCAGGCGACTAACACCCAGTAACTCATTTACTGATGGGTGAATACAGACAACAGGTGTAAAGAAACACCCAGTGTTTCTACCCTGACTGGGAATCGAATATTTACCAGAAATCATGTATGGCTAACCCAAGCCAGGTATTAGAAATAAGCCACGTTGTCTGACTTTTTTGGGTTATCCTAGGTTCTCTACACATATGCTGCTATGTGTGGTAATCTATATAGAGAAAACAGCTTTTTTGTTTCAGGTTTATGGTGCAGTATGAGTGTATATCACAGCCCTGTGCTACACTCCGTTTTCTCTAATATATGCCCCAAGACAGGGATAGGAGAATGGTACTTGTATCTCGTATCCTCTTCATACCTCCGTCGAACTGCTCGGTGTTATGCCAAATATTATTCATTCTGGAGTACTTAACATGTTTTATGTTATTTATATTGTTTATTATGTCATATTAGATCAATTGTGATAGGCAATAAGCTGTAGCATTGATATTAGCGTAATAATAAAGCATATTCTCCTGCATCACGAGACTGAGCTCATAGTAACCGAGAGTGGCTTCCAAGCCACCTTATCTTTAATGGACAATGTACTGTGTAGGTACTTTACACAACGAAAAGCATTTCTTTTATTCATTGGAACCATGGCTAGGGCTAAAAGTAAGCAGGTTATAACAATAAATGGAGAAAAAGAAATTAGAATGACTTATGCAGCAAGTAGCGCCACCAAACAGTACCAGCAGGTTGGTGTGGCGACCCTGGAAATTTGAAATTATGCAAGCCAAATAACTGAAGGAAACGAATAACTGATTGCTGGATTTGTGATGGTGGACCTGTACTCTGATAATTATACTTGTGTGTACCTGTACCTAAATGTACAGTGGTACCTCAAGTTACGAACTTAATTCATTCCAGAAGGCTGTTCGAGTGCCGATACCGAAAGAATTTGTTCCCCTAAGGAATAATGTAAATTAGATTAGTCAGTTTCAGACCTCCAAAAATACACTTACAAAAGCACTTACAAAAATGCACTTACATAATTGTTCGAGTTGGGAGCTGTTCGAAACTCGAGGTACCACTGTACTTGCACACTATGCTGGCATGCAGGTACACATTAAAATCACTAAGTGTGTCCCTCTAGTCTTAATGCCATAGTAATACTAATAGTACGTAATAATCACTCTTGGGCACATTCAATGTCTTGTTTTACGTTAATATAGACATTTTCATTAATCCATCTATAGTATTTTCTTCAAAATTATATAAGAAACACATTACATAGTATATAAACATGATTTGTTTATAATGCTATGCAGGTGTGGTAGCCGGGCAGAGGGAAAACATTACATTTTCTCTGGTCCAGCACCAGAGAAAACGTGTATGAATCTGCGTTTGGCCCAGTCACTCCCCTTCACACACTGCTTTTGTTTACAATTCTCCCTTCGTTTCTGATGACATCTAAAGGTAGTTGTTAGAAACAAACTCGGTGAACAAGGTATGTTGATGGTAATATGGCTCTGGGCTGTATTAAATATCATATAGCTATATAGATAGGTGTAGCCTAGGTGGGCTACATCTACTGGCTACCTACACCTGACTTCCTATAAATAAATACTACTCGCCTCTCATCCTAGATTAAGACTGAAAATATTTTAGGTAAGTAATGAATGTACTGTGTATGTATTTTACTTTTTATTGTGTTTAATGCCTAGTTATATTACGGACTTCTGTATAGCCCTTGTGGCTTAGCGCTTCTTTTTGATTATAATAATATATTACGGACTTAATATAAGTTAATGTAAACTTCTTGTCTTGCATTTATAAGTGGAAAAAATGGCGTTCTGCTTTAGAGCGATGTCCGCTTTCTGGCAGTAGCCTGGAACCTAACCTGCCGTGTGAGTGGGGCTGTACTGTATTAGAATTTACCAATACCCTTTACTTTAGAGATAATAAACTTTCATTTCATCACACTAATGCATTTCAAAGCAATCTGGTTCATATTTATTCTCCTGTATCACTAGTACTTCAGTTATTTATTTTCAGCTGCCTTATCCTCTCCAGGCAGACTTTAAAAAAAAAAAAAAGAAAGTTTTACCTTACATTAGTAATGTTTTTTTCTGTCAAGTATGGGATCATAGCTATCCTATAATTTAGTCCACAGGCAATATCTCATTAAATTAACTCTTGTGCACAACATTCCTAATGTGAATCTTAACCCCAGCTTTATTTATGTCTTTGTTTGTCTCTCCCATTACACTGTCAAATGCTCATATCTTCAGAATACATATGACCTGCCCTTGGCTGTATCTTCACCTCTCAGTGATTTGATCTAACTTATGACTTCTCTTTCATGATAACTCAAGACTTTAGTAGTGTTTCAGGATGAACCAAAATGTCATCCAGTTTTAATTTCCAGTGTGAGAGTTAGTTGTAATAGTAAGAAATTCCAACTTTTTTGGGTATGAAGGAAGGTGTTTGAATGTTGTAGTGAGGAGATTAAAGGAAGTCTAAATTGGTGTGACTGTTACAAAAGATATAAGGAAGCAGGAGGGGTTGTTGAAACAGTTTTGGTCATGTACAAAAATTGAGTTGATAAAGAGGGGTTTAAATATCTTGGGTACATGGAAAATGAAGTGAAGGGGATGGCAAAGAAAGGGTTGCTAGAAGAGTGTAAAAGATGTATTCACAAGTAGAAGCATGAGTGTGTTAGACGTGAGTGGAGGAGTTTAGAGAGTCTTTTGATGATATTCCCAATTAAATGTCTATACATATAATGTATGGTATCTCTTTTAGTTAGGTAGTAGGTTGGTAGATAGCAGCCGCTCAGGGAGGTACTACCGTCCTGCCAAGTGAGTGTACAACGAAAACCTGTAATTGTTTTACATGATGGTAGGATTGCTGGTGTCTTCTGTCTCATAAACATGCAAGATTTCAGGTACATCTTGCTACTTCTACTTACACTTAGGTCACACTACACATACATGTGCAAGTGTATATATACACACCCCTCTGGCTTTTCTTCTATTTTCTTTCTAGTTCTTGTTCTTGTTTATTTCCTCTTATCTCCATGGGGAAGTGGAGCAGAATTCTTCCTCCGCAAGCCATGTGTGTTGTAAGAGGTGACTAAAATGCCAGGAGCAAGGGGCTAGTAACCCCTTCTCCTGTATATATTACTAAATGTATAAGGAGAAACTTTAGTTTTTCCTTTTGGGCCACCCCGCCTCGGTGGGATACGGCCAGTGTGTTGAAAGAAGAAAGATCTCTTTTAGTATAAAATTTGTTCAAAACAAAGTATGTAGTATAGATTTTACAAGTGTATATACCCCAATTACATTTCATGTGTTTATGTACACTAGGCTACATTTGTGTAAATACATTATTAAAGGAACAGTGTAAGTTTTCCTTAAATGTACTAAAATACTTTAATTTCCCATCACCATTGTTATATTTTTGGTTTATTAAATATGAGAATAAGAGAAATAGAATAAATTAAGACTGAGAATATTTTATAACTTCATATTTAGTACCAAATCGTAGTTTCTTACCACTAGCAGTGGCTGCTGTTTCTGCTCCCAACATGTTAGCAATACTGTATTAATGTATCATTTTCTATTTTCAGATGATTATGTTCCAGCAATGGAAGGTTTGCCAATGTATGTTTTACGCCTGGCAACAGAAGTGGAATGGGAAAACGAGCTGGAGTGCTTCCAGACATTCTGCCGCGAAACTGCAAAGTTTTATGCTGTTCAGCGAAATCAAACACATCAGGAAGTATGTGATTTTAATATATTAATTCACAGGGGTGAAGAGGAAAAAACTCATGCTGTACAGCCTAAACCTATAGTAAACCTTTCTTTGGGTTAGATGCATTGGTAGTTAGTTTGAAGCCGTTAAGGAGAGCTGTTCTCCAGTCATACGAAAAATATCATACAATTTTTAATGAAATTAGCAAGTTGGCATTTATACATTCTTACAAATCCAAACCTTCCTGTACACTGGGATACAGAAGAGGCAATCTCAGATTATCTCAGTGTAACCACTGCCATACATTAATATATTAACTTGGCAATTTCACAGTCCAGTAGCAATCTGAGGCTTTTTCAAAGCAGGATACACCATTAAAAGTTGTAAGAAATCAGGAGAGGAGTTCTTAAAGTTAATGCAGAGAAACCTTGGAGGAAGAAAAATTAAGTTTTGACAACAATTATAAAAAATTTCTTTCAGGGGAGGATATTGAAGTGCAGTGGTATCTTGACTTAAGAGTGCCCCAACTTATGAGTTTTCCGAGTTACAAGCCATCACTCAGTTTTTTTGCTTCGAGTTGCAAGCCAAAATCCAAGTTATAAGCGAGCTTCAGATACACCACTAATTGGCAGCATATCTGAAGTCAAATCCAACTCTGTACCCAGAGGAATGTCAGGTACTTTGTCCCATCCCACATGCTCTTCCAAGACATAACTGCAAGGAAAATACTCCCACGCTAATCCTACATTATAGTGAGGCACCTCGTCCCTTGTTTGGTTCTCGTATAAATCCGGGGAAGAGGTAACGAAGTGAATGTTTTCAGATACTTGGGAGTTGACGTGTCGGTGGATGGATTTATGAAGGATGAGGTTAATCATAGAATTGATGAGGGAAAAAAGGTGAGTGGTGCGTTGAGGTATATGTGGAGTCAAAAAACGTTATCTATGGAGGCAAAGAAGGGAATGTACGAAGGTATAGTAGCACCAACACTCTTATATGGATGTGAAGCTTGGGTGGTAAATGGAGCAGCGAGGAGACGGTTGGAGGCAGTGGAGATGTCCTGTCTAAGGGCAATGTGTGGTGTAAATATTATGCAGAAAATTCTGAGTGTGGAAATTAGGAGAAGGTGTGGAGTTAATAAAAGCATTAGTCAAGAGGGCAGAAGAGGGGTTGTTGAGGTGGTTTGGTCATTTAGAGAGAATGGATCAAAGTAGAATGACATGGAAAGCATAAAAATCTATAGAGGAAGGAAGGAGGGGTAGGGGTCGTCCTCGAAAGGGTTGGAAAGAGGGGGTAAAGGAGGTTTTGTGGGCGAGGGGCTTGGACTTCCAGCAAGCGTGCATGAGCGTGTTAGATAGGAGTGAATGGAGACGAATGATACTTGGGACCTGATGATCTGTTGGAGTGTGAGCAGGGTAATATTTAGTGAAGGGATTCAGGGAAACCGGTTATTTTCATATAGTCGGACTTGAGTCCTGGAAATGGGAAGTACAATGCCTGCACTTTAAAGGAGGGGTTTGGGATATTGGCAGTTTGGAGGGGTATGTTGTGTATCTTTATACGTATATACTTCTAAACTGTTGTATTCTGAGCACCTCTGCAAAAGCAGTGATAATGTGTGAGTATGGTGAAAGTGTTGAATGATGATGAAAGTATTTTCTTTTTGGGGATTTTCTTTCTTTTTTGGGTCACCCTGCCTCGGTGGGAGACGGCCGACTTGTTGAAAAAAAAAAAAAATTCTTATTTAAAAACCCATAACAAAAAATTGGGGTGGTTTATATGGGGCTGGAACGAATTAATGGAATTTCAGTTAATCTCAATGAGGAAAATTTATTTGATATATGAGCAAATTGAGTAACGAGCTCTGTCACAGAATGAATTAAACTCATAAGTCAAGCCACTACTGTACTTTTATTTTTCCAATAATCCTGCACATAAATTATAAAATTTGTTGTATTTGTCAGGATGGAAATGATGGCTGGCAGTGGAAGGTGGAGCATCTCTTATACCCAGCCATGAGGAAGACACTGCTGCCTGCTCAACACTTTGCACAAGATACAACATTCCTTCAAATTGCAAATCTTACAGAGTTATACAGAGTTTTTGAAAGATGCTAATTTAGTAGTTTTGCTCTATGTAAATTTTTGCAATGTAATACAAACTTAAATTACCTCAGTCAACTGTAGTTTCAGCAATATTTGTATGCTCAACTGTTGTCTATGTAAACCATGAAATAAACTATTTTCAGATTTTTTCCTTCATTTAGTAATTTTTGTTTTGTTCATGAAATGCACTAACAGTTGCTAAAAGAAATATACAGGGTGTCCCAGAAGTATACACACATAGGGAAATAGTTTTATGCTGGATTCCTTTATTAAAACTGAACCTTTTAAATACTAGGAGTGGTCATATTATTATTATAATAAAAAAAGAAGCACTAAGCCACAAGGACTATACAGCGCTGCAGGGCAGGAAGGAAGCGAGGGCATCAGGTGGCAAAAGGGAGTTGGATGAGTAATAGGTTACGGATAACAGCGGGGTAGTGGATGGTGAAAGGGTAAAGGGCAGCAAGAGACTGAACTAGAAAGGGCTGAGGGGAGTGCGAAAAGTATCATCAGAGTTTGTGGAGTAAATCAGTCGTTGTCAAGAAGTCAGTAAGAGAGTCAGGATTAAAGGAGGGTCCATCAGCAAGAAGGGAAGGTAAAGAGAGAGTAGTAGAATGAATACGGCGTTGGGGGTAAATTCTGCGTGCTCGTTGATAGAGAGGGCAGTCTAACAGAATGTGGCTAATCGATACTGGAACTTGACACTGCTCACAGAGAGGAACAGGGTGCCTCTCCATGAGATACCCATGAGTAAGACGAGTGTGGCCAATGCGAAGGCGGGAGAGAGTGGTCTCCCAACCTCGGCACTGATGACAAGAAGACGGCCAGTAACCTATGCTCGGTTTAATAGAATGACGTTTGTTACCGAGCAGAGTTGACCAACGTTGTTGCCAACGGGTGCGAAGGTGGGTAGCTATTGCAGCAAAATAGTCCAGAAATGGAACACCTCGATAGGAAATTGGTAGGTCATGTACTGCTGACCGCGCAGCAGTGTCTGCCTGTTCATTGCCCTGTACGTCGACATGACCAGGGACCCAACAAAAAACAATATCTTTATGTTTGGTAGAGATACGGCGTAGCCAAAGTTGGATACGGAGAACTAGGGGATGAGATGTATCAAATTTTCGTATAGCCTGTAGGGCACTAAGGGAGTCTTGAGACTACTACAAATGATGACACAGGCATAGATGCGATACGAATAAGTGCTGCAAGAATGGCATACAGTTCAGCAGTAAAAATGCTAGCTGAAGATAGTAAATGCCCCCGCACGACGCTGTCCGGAAACACTGCTGCGAATCCGACGCCGTCTGAAGACTTAGAGCCATCTGTGTACACAGCGGTGGCATGAGAATGGGAGTGGAAGTGATCAAGAAAAAGAGAGCGGGAAGCCACCGTAGGCAGTTGAGCTTTCGAGCAAGGGAGTGAGAAAGAACAGACCCAAACAGCTGGAACTTCCCAGGGGGTAGGGAAAAGTGAGATGCTACATGAACATATAAAGGTGGTAACTGAAGGGAAGACAAGAGTGAATGTAGGCGAAGAGAAAAGGGACGGAGCAAACAGGGGCGGCGAACGAATAAAGAATGTCTACTAATATCGGTGACCATTCTATAAATGGAAGGATTGTGTAGATCGTGAGAGCGTACATAGTAGCGAAGGCAATGGGCATCACGGCGATCAGACAAGGATGGAACATTCGCTTCTGTATAGAGGCTCTCAACAGGGGAAGAGCGAAAAGCACCAAGGCACAAACCTAATCCTTGGTGTTGGATAGAGTTAAGGCTAGAGAAAGTAGCAGGAGAGGCCGCGGAATAAATCTGGTCACCATAATCGAGTTTCGATAAAACGAGGGCTGAATGTAGGCGAAGCAGAGTTCGACTATCAGCTCCCCAGGAAAGATGAGCAAGGGTTTTAAGAAGGTTTAGCCGGCTGTGACAAGTTGCCTTCAGAGAGGTAATGTGAGGTTTCCAGGATAACCTACGGTCAAAGAGAAGGCCTAGAAACCTGACTGTATCACGTTCAGGGATACGGGAGCCATAGAGATACAAAGGATGATTGGAGATAACAGAGCGTCTAGTGAAAGTAATTTGGTGAGTTTTGGAACTTGAAAATTTAAACCCATGCATGGTGGCCCAAGTGGAAACACGGTCGACCGCATGCTGGAGAGAAACTGCAATAAGATGACAGTCAGCGCCTGCACAAGCAATAGCGAAGTCATCAACATAGAGTGATGACCAAATATTGGATGGAAGAACAGGGGCCAAATCATTTATAGCAAGGAGAAAAAGTGTTGTGCTTAGAACACATCCTTGAGGGACACCTTCAGCTTGGACGAAGTCCGGGGAAAGAACATTATTGACTCGAACACGGAAATGTCTGTCAGTTAAGAAGTTCTTAAGGAAGGATGGTAGATTGCCTCGGAGGCCTAAGGAATGGGCCTGGGCCAAAATATTATACCTCCAAGTTGTGTCATATGCCTTCTCAAGGTCAAAAAATATGGCAATAACTGAGTGATTATTCGCAAAGGCATTACGAACATACGTATCCAAGCGTAGTACGGGGTCTATGGTAGAACGACCCTTACGAAAGCCATATTGACTAGCGGAGAGACTGTTGTGTGTCTCTAAATGCCACATTAAACGTCGATTTACGAGACGTTCCATCACTTTGCAAACTGCACTAGTAAGAGCGATGGGACGATAGTGGGAGGCATCATGTCCTGTAGTACCCGGTTTGTGGAAAGGGAGAACAATGGCAGATTTCCACAGCTGGGGAAGAACTTGTGCCCAAATAAGATTGAAGAGGTGTAAGAGGACTACAAGGGCTGACCGATGTAAATGTTGTAACATACGAATATGAATGTCGTCAGGCCCAGCTGCCGATGATCGGCAAGCTGAGAGCGTTGCCTCCAGTTCTTGAAGTGTAAAAGGCACATTGTACTGTTCTTCTCTGAGAGAAGAAAAGTCCAAGGGTACTAACTCTCTGGCAGACTTTGAGGAAGGAAACGAGGGACATAGATGGAGCCCTCGGGAAATATGGACCAGATGTGTGCCAAGTTCAATGGCAACGTCGAGAGGGTTTGCTACATCAACGCCAGCGACCCGTAGAACAGGAGCCGGGTCAGGAGAGTATTTACCACTCAATTTCCTCACTTTTTTCCAGACTGCACTCATAGAAAAAACAGAGGTGATGGTGGAAACATAGTCTCGCCAACAAGTGCATTTAGCTTCACGGATGACACGGCGAGCGATCGCACGCTTCTGCTTAAAATCAAGAAGTCTCTCAGCGGTTCTATTGTACCGGTACCTGCCCCATGCAGCACGTTTCAAACGTACTGCACGAGCACAAGCAGGAGACCACCAAGGCAAGCACTTCTGAGAATGCCTGCCTGAGGTTTGGGGTATAGAATGAGAAGCTGCGGTATAAACTGACGTCGAGAAGAGGTGTAGGAGCTCATCAATGGAGGATGAAAAAGGAACCTCACTAAAAGCAGTGAGGTGTGAGTAAAGATCCCAATTTGCCCGATCAAATTGCCAGCGAGGGCTACGGAAAGGTGGTGAATAGGAAGGAGAAGTAAGAATGATCGGAAAATGATCGCTGTCATGTAAGTCCGGTAGAACAGACCAGGTGAAGTCTAGTGTAGTGGAGGAAGAGCAGACTGATAGATCGATGCAAGAGAGAGTATGAGTACGAGGATCAAAATGGGTGGGAGTACCCGTATTTAAAACATGGAGGGGTGAGAGGCGAGAAAAGCCTCCAACTGGATGCCACGCGAGTCACTGAGACCCCCCCAGAGGAAATGGTGGGCATTAAAATCACCAAGTAACAGAAGTGGTGGTGGTAAGGATGAAACAAGAAAGGCAAAGTCTGGGATAGAAAATGCTCGAGAAGGAGAGAGATATAAAGAACATATTGTAAACCACTTATTCAAGTGGATACGGGCTGCAGTGTAATGCAGCGAGGTATGGACAAATAGTTGACAGTACGGAATATCATTGTGTAGAAGAAGGGCACTTTCATTAAAGGTCCCATCTGAAAAAGGATCCGAAGAATACAATAAATTATAGCCTGAGATAGGTTGGAAGACAGCCGAGTGTAATTTTGGTTCTTGTAAGCAAGCACCAACAGGGGAAAACCTGGAAAGCAACAGGAGTGGTCATAGAGCACTGGTAATGGGAGCTATGCTTTCCTGCCTCAGCCTAAGTGGAGGCTAAATAGTGGATATATTACTTTTTCTCAATTCTTTTAAGGATTGAGGACAGAGGAGCACTTCAGTACTGCTGATGGGCTCTTGATCTGAAGGATTGGAGCAACTCTTACCTTCTTCTGATCAAACCTTTGTACCACCCCTCTGTTTCCAAAAGACTGTACTGGTTGTTTATCACTAGTACCATACACTTGTCATCCCTCACACCCCCTCTGACCAGCAGCTTTACAGGTTCCTCAATGCAGGTGAGAGGCTGTCGAGCCAAGGAATTTGTCCCTGGAGCCTCATTGCCTCCCATTCTGCAGGTGCTGTATAACCCCTATGGGTTTAGCACTTCTCCTAATTATAATGTGGAGAATACTTACCTCTACCCAAAGTCCAGTACTACACAAACTGAGCAAAATGAGATCCATACATGGAGTATGAGGGTCTACATGGGTCAGTCCCAATATATAGGACATCAGTAAAGGGATAAGAAAAGATTTCAATAGGTCACAAGTCGCATTGGGACCCACCCCAAAGAATATAATAGCAAGTAAAATCTAAAAAATACCGACTCAGGCAAAGGTGAAGCTAGGAATTGAAGGGGCATGTCAAGTACATTATTATTATAATAAAAAAGAAGCGCTAAACCACAAGGGCTATACAG